CCTATTTCACAACTTAAAAGTAACGGCATATTGTAGAGAAACCTTTGGTAATTTAAACTCTTGAAGTGTAACTTGGGAAATATTTGCCAAACATTGTGTAGCAGATCAAAAAGATTCTGACATGCCTCTCACCTCGGGTACTTCTCGATCCAGCTCAGGAACAAGGCCTTACAAAGGAGCAGCCAAGTGTCACAAGCACTGAGGCAGAAGGACACTCCAGGCAGAGGGGACAGTGTGAACACAGTAATAATACAGTGGGGTCATTCATTTACCACTGTGAGGGAGAAGGGATTTTCTGGGGATGATGGAACACACAAGGTTCTGAAGGGCCTTAAAAAACCTAGAAGCTGGGCCGGGCGTGGTGGCACATGCCTTTAATCCTAGCACTTGGGAGGCAGAAGCAGGCAGATCTCTGTGAGTTCAAGGCCAACCTGGTCTACATAGTAAGTTCCAGGACAGCTGGGGCTACAGGGAGACCCTGTCTCAAAAAGACAAAAAAAAAAACAAAAACCAAAAACTAGAAGTTGGATTTTATTCTAAAAGCAACACAGATAGTTCATCAGGTCCTGTATACTTTTTAAGTAGGCTGTGGAAGGTTTGCATATGCAACAGAAACTGTAAAGCCATCAACATCACTATCAACATTTTTCTGCTGCTATCCTCAGTCCTCAAACCTGGCAGTGGGATCCTCTGGACCTTTGAAAGGGCCTGTTTGCAGTCCCTATGAGGTCTTCGCATATGGGCCTTTGGAGACCCTTCACCATTTGATATTCAATGGGCCGTGTATTAGTCACCTTTCTGTTGCTGTGATAAAAACTGTGACCATGGGACTTTATAAAAGGAAGAGTTTGTTTGAGCTTACAGTTCCAGAGGGGCCAGAGTCCATCATGGTGGGGAGGCATGGTGGCAGAGGTGGCTGGAATAGGAGCAGAAACTAAACTCTCACATCTTCAAGTCATCACAGGAAGCAGAGAGCAACTGGAGATCAGGCAAGGTTAAGAAGTCTCTAAGCCCACTCCCAATGACATGCTTCCTCCAGCATGACCACCCCCAAAACAGCACCACCAACTGGGGATAAAATGTCCAAATACTTGGAGCCTATGGGAGACATTCTCACTCAAACCACGGTATTCCACTCCCTGCAGTAAGGTGGGAAAAGCACAGCAGCTATCAGAACAAGGGCCTGGCATTATCTGACTCACAAACCTTCCCCTCTTAAAGAAACCAGGATACCACAACTGTCTGGATCTTGACCCCAAGTGCCTGTGGTTCCCCAAAATAGTTACCTTGTGAGACTCATGGAAGGGTCTTGGATCAACTCTCCCTCCTTTTCACTGCCTGGGCCTCAGCATCTCCTGCCTTCTCTGCCCTCTTCAACAGAGAGTATAGAACCCTAGATGCAGTGTAAGAAGTCATGGCTATTCTGTGCATAATTCAACATGCCACCCTCTTTCTGGAATTCCAGGCAGTTTAAGTTTTTCTTGATAATGCATAAAATGGAGAGAATCACAGCAATGAGTTATAAACTTCTGACATCTAAAAAAAAGGCATAGCTGCACTTGTAGGAGTAGATGGAGGCCTCATGTCCTTATGCAGCTAAGGCAACTCAAGGGTACTTCTGTCAACACCAGCTGCTCTGTGCAGCAAATCTGAAAGATACTAACCTAGCAGGTTCCTGGGACTCAGAACCTATGTCTCTACTGAGCAAGGTACCAGGACCTTTGGATGTCTGTCATATTAAGGCTAGGAAAGAATCAAAACTAACTCCTAACCCATGAGGTTGTGTTGAAGCCCTAATATGCCCCCAAGTCACACACATGCTCCAGAAGCCTTTCCCAGCCCCACCTCCTCAAGATTCAGGAGCAAAAAGAGCCTCATTAATTGGGAGAAATAATCCCAATGAACCCTGAAATTCCGCCACTACAATTCATCCTATTAAATAGAGCACTTGCCAGTTTTTTCTAGAAGAAGGTATCTATCTCACACACATCTGAGTAAACAAGACCATTGGTTCCATTCCTCCCCATAAGAAGCAGGGGACCAGTTACACCCCACACGCTTGAAGTAGGCACATTGCCTAAAGATGAGAGACTTCAACCTGACTGCCACCTCCCCTCAGTCCCTGTATACAACAATCCTTACCCTCCCACCCTCTGACAACCTTTAAACATGCAGCACTCAGAGACAAGGTCCACTGGGTTCTTGCAGGCCTGACTGGCCTGGCCTTCCCTTCCAGCCTTGAAATTCTCAGACCTTCATTCAGCATGCATGGGCTAGTTAGAACCTCTGTGCTAGGAGGCAGAAGGAGTCCTGCTTCCCCCCCAGATCACAGTTGATGAAGACGAGACAGCCAGCAGCCTGTACAAGAAGTTTTATCTCCTTAGTTCTCCTTCATGCCCTCCTCAAGCCACTTCAAATAGTGCACATCTCCTTGGTCCATGGGAAGACTGAAGACCTCTGGGGTTTCGAAAGGATGAACCAACCTTTGGAAAGAAAACAGACGTCTAATGAGTGACTACGACAGAATCAATCTATGTGACAAATCCCAATTTACAGGCTCACTGGAGGCCCTCTGCAATCTCCTGCAACCACTGGTCAGTCACGTGACCCGCACAATGTGTTTCCTATTTGTCCACAGATGCTGAGTTAGACCAGGTGCCTTTAGAGTCTTAGAGATATGGATTCAAATTCTAAGGACTAAGTAAGACAAGGGTGTCTAAAGTGCTTGCACAGTAACAGCACTGCACTCATCCTTTTCGCTACTGTTCTCGATGTCCCATCTGTATTGCTGCGTCTTCTCTCCTCTCTTCTGAGGCCTCTATGTTCCTACCAACGTAGAAAGTTCTCACTGTTCCCGTTGATCCATCTAAATCCCCTCTCTTGAGTCTCAAGGCCAAACTCAGACACTGACCTTTGCCAAGGGGTCCTCACTGATGCCCTTGACTCACAGGACCCTGCCTTCTCTCCTGTTGCCTTTACCAGACCCTCAGTACACAGCACAAGTTCTCTAGGCTGAAGAGACATGAGCACCTGGGTCTCAGTTTCCCACATGTCACATAACTGTCTCCTTACTTTCTACTGAATGAGCCACTGTAAAAGTCTCATGAGATAGCATGTTTACTCACAATATGTATTTAAGTGTGCAAGCATAAATTTGTCACTTATTCAGTACCTGAAGGTACTCAACCTGTTTAGCTTATTTCATGGACATCTAGGCCAGTGTGGCCTTTTGTATTGCTGCTGCTGCTGTTGTTGTTTGACGGGGTCTCCCTGTAGCCCCAGCTGTCCTGGAACTCACTATGTACACGAAGCTGGCCTCGATCTCACAGAGATCCACCTACCTCTGTCTCCTGAGTGCTGGGATTAAAGACATGCACCACCTGGTATAGGCAGGCCCAGATATTTCGGGGTTTTTTTATATACATAAACAGACATATAGAATTCAAACAATTAGACTTTTGACATTTTAATAGTAGGATAAACTGTTGATACTTCATAGCTATACTTCATATATTAATTCTAATATATGTAGTAACAACCTGATAGTATGATACCCATTTTATAGGGAGGATAAATGATGTACAAATGGTATTTTATGAGCACTGTGGTACAATTAGCAAACAAAAAACCATATTTCAACATAAGAAGTTAAACTCTGGCATTCTCTCCTAACCAAGAAGCTGTTCCCTCACCAGTTAAGTTTTTAGTTCAACCAAAGGTGCTTTGCTCTCTCACCTCTGCTGAGGTGCTAACAAAAGGGCCTTCTGTAGTTAAGATTTGAGACAGCTACAGTCACATGACCACAAAATCCTGGTTCTCTAAGATGTGAAGGAGAAGAATGTTGTCATCCAGAGCAGTGGTTTGTAGTCCAGGCTGTACACTACCATCAAACTGGGGTGCTGCTTAGGAATCACATACTTGATCCCCATATCCGACCAAGTCAGAATCTGAGAGGTAGAGTCTATATTGGTCATGGAAAAATGTTCTAATACACAGTGTTGAGAAGTACTCAACACTTAGACCAGTACTTCAAGTGCTAACATGGGTGGGAATCTTGTAAAAATGTTCAATTTGTTACGTCTGAAGTGAGCATAAGAGTCCAACTCCAACACTAGGAGACAACCCTGACAACCCTTTCTCTTTTTTTTGGTCTTTTTGAGACAGGGTCTCCCTGTAGCCTCAGCTGTCCTGGAACTATGTAGACCAGGCTGGCCTCAAACTCACAGATCCACCTGCCTCTGCTTCCCAAGTGCTGGGATTAAAGGCGTGTGCCACCACACCCCACACCCGGCTAAGACAACCCTTTCTTATTGCTAATGATAAAATTCATTTTGTAAGCAAAATTTAGAATTTTGAAACCCTGAATTTGTCATCATAAACTTAAAATTGACCTAATACTTTAAGATGCTCTTAGGAAACCTAGCTATTTTCTTAAGCCACAATTTGTAAAAATGTAAATGACATCATTTTTTTCATCAATTTCTTGGTTTTGGAAAAATACAACTACTTTCCCCCAAAACATATTATTTATGTTAATACTATGTAGTGATTTTATTATTGTTATAACTTTAAGTGAACTAAAAATAGTTTTTTAATTCCTTAGCATTTATTTGTTTTTTGTTTTTTTTTGTTTTTGTTTTTGTTTTTTTTTTTTTTTGGTCTTTTTTGAGACAGGGTCTCCCTGTAGCCCCTGCTGTCCTGGAACTCGATATGTAGACCAGGCTGGCCTTGAACTCACAGGGATCTGCCTGCCTCTGCCTCCCAAGTGCTGGGATTAAAGGCATACGCCATCACGCCCGGCATTCCTTAGCATTTATGTCTGCAACAGTTCATTTTCATGAACTCAAAGTCTTGAACACCCCAGAGGCCTGTGAACCTCACTTTGAGAACCACTGGTCTAAACTGCTACCATTCAAAGTGTTGAGTTTTAGAATTGGAATCACAGAGCTAGCTAGAATTTAGCCCACAATTGCTTTTATAATTCTCAGTAATTGTTTTAAAGTATGAAGAGTTCCTGAGACCATTATTTTGATTTGTTTTTGTTTGGCTGTTTGTTGAGACAAGGTCTCCCTGTAGCCTCAGCTGGCCTAGAACTCACTATGTAGAATAGGCTGGCCTCGATCTCAGAGAGATCTGCCTGCCTCTGCCTTCTAAGTGCTGGGATTAAAGGCATGTGCTACCGTGCCCAGCCTAGATGAATACTTTGAAAGCACTGGTTTAAACTATCTCATTCAAGTTCTCCATTTTATAGACAAAGAACCTGTGACTCAGAAGGGACAGGGACTTGCTTGGAGTCTTATCAAATGCAGTGGCTAAGCTCCTATCTCCCTGGTTCGCGCACCTAGTAACCAGAATATCCTGGCTTGGCCTTGTGATGAATGAGGGATTAGATGTGCTAGCCTTACCTGATATATCTGGATAGCCCAGGGATCTTAGAAGTCTTTGTCTTTATTAACTGTAACAGAAGGAAAACAATTAGCAATTTAGGACCTGAACCTCAGTTCTGACCATCCATCCATCTGGCCATTTAGAAGACAGCACTCCTCCCAGGACACCAGGTCAGGTCACTAGCTTGCTAATGAGTCTTGGCTCTCTTACTAGGGGAAGAACCTCAATCAGTTGATCTTTGCTATTTTTTTTCTTTTGTGGGTAATTGAACCTGAGACTTCCTACATGTGGGAATTCTATCATGGAACTATGCCATCTACCCTCCTCTTTGTTAAATTTTAATTAGAATCTGGGAAGAGGCTTCAGTCTCACGCATTCTCCTTTCAAAACCTCTTCTGCCCCTATCCTCACTTACCAACAAGATCTCAGTGGTTTCTTCTATTTCTCCCTGCCAAAAGTACCTGGAGAAGGAAACAGAGTCAAATTATAATGGTTTCAAGAAGAGCCTGGTGAATAGTCATACCTGGCCCAAGTAAGTACATTCCTGAGGAGGAAACCTTTTAAGATCTTTTCCAAGCCCATATAAAGAAGTCTAGAGTTGGCCACAGTCCCACAGGCCAGTTAGTCCAACCATTCCAGCAAATGCACTTCACATCTGCCAGAGCATTCCTGAAGGCCCATCATCCCTTGAGGGCCTCCTCTCCTTTTTTTCTTCCCTCCCTTCCTCCCTCTTCTTCCACCCTCTTCCTTTTCTTGTCATGTTGGAGAGCAAACCCAAGGCCTGGTACACGCTGGGCTAGCAAGCACTCTACCACTGAGCTATACACATAGCTCCTGTACAAGGTTTTAAGGATTCAGAAACCTGGGCAGGGCATGGTGGCGCACACCTTTAATCCCAGCACTCAGGTGGCAGAGGCAGGTGGATCTCTGTGAGTTCAAGGCCAGCCTGGTCTACATAGCGAGCTCCAGACCAGCTTGGTCTACAGGGACACGCTGTCTCAAACACACACACACACACACACACACACACACACACAAGTTGGGCACTACTCTCAGGAATAGTAATTGAATAGACCTAGGCTGGAGTTCAGGGATCAAAGTTACAGCCAAATTTGGGAGCCACTGCTCTAGATGATGTGAACAATTGGAATGGCATCACTTTTTCCTTCTTTCTCTCTACATAGCATATCTTTGCGTTCCTTGGATGACATAAACTGACTAATCTCGGAATACAAACCAACCATGAACTGTTGATTAAATACCTTTGTGACAGTCTCTGACAGTTTACCATTTGTTCAATACTCTTTCCATCAGTCAGGACCTACCCCTAACATTCCCAACTTCCCTCCACCAGCCTTGTCAAAACTCACAGTGAAGAAGCCTTGGGCAAGATGTTCACAGAGGCCGCCAGCTTCTTATCCAGTATGGCCCTAGAGCAAAGACGTAATGACAGTCACTGGGACAAGTCTCAAAATCTTAAGAGAAGGGATAGGGAAGCAAGATTTAGAGAAGGGATAAGAATTAGACTGTGGTAACTTGGGTCTAAGAAGGTAATCATTTAGGGTGTTCCTCCCCTGCTGTGCTTTAAACTTGAGGACTCTGGTGTTGGAAACTTAATCCTGAAAGTCTTATGTTAATGGTAACTGAAGGCAGGGACCTTGAGAAGTAATTAATGGAATAGAAATGTGAGGTTGGAGCTACTGCAGGCTTCACTAGGGCAATGCTTAGGAGAGCCGCAGGGAATATAATGATACCAAGACCCAAAACTGTAGTGTTACCAGCATGCACTACCAAGCACAGTAAGCCTAAGCTGAACCCAGCAAAGCCATGGAGGTTGGGCTATATAAGGCCTGGGGACCTAACCACTACTCCAGCGTATCCAGGAAGGGGGATCAAGGAATATTATCCTAGAGCCTTCAGAATGAAAGTGCTATTGGGTTTGGGGCTGATATGGGGCCAGTTACTCCTTACTTCCTGCCTATTTCTCTCTTTTGGAATGGGAATGTCAGTCCTATGTCTGCTTCATCATTGAACTTTGGTGAAGTACATTGTATGTAGGTAACCTGTCTGATTTCACAATCTCATAGCTAAAGAAAGTTTGCTGCAGGTTTGCTTTGAGTCTCACCCAAACCTGGCTCAGAGGAATCACCGGACTTTGGACTGTAGAGCTGGCATGGGACCTAGTTAAGCTCTGGGGCTATTAGGAAGGATGGATTGTACTTTACATATAATGAGGTCATAAATGTTGGTTGGGGGCCAGAGGCAGAATTTTGAATATATCCCCAGAATTCATGCACTGAAAATCAAATCCCGTAAATCATGGTGATAAATTTGGAAGTAGAACTTTAGGAGGGTGATTAAAAGTATATAAGGTGGGGTCCCTGTGATGGCACTAGTGGCTTCAGAAGGAAAGGAAAAGAGCTTATTCGCTACTGCCATGTGATGTCTGTGCCACACTATACTGTAGGAAGAAGGCCTTTACAGATACCCAGCAGCATTATTAGACTTCAAAGATCTAGAAGCATAACTAAATAAACTTTTATTTATAATTAACAAACTATGGCATTCAGTTATAGCAACAAAAAGGACAGGTATCACCTTGTCACACACCCCCTTGAACCAGCACATTCTAGAACCACTACACACAGAACATCTGAGTACAGAGTTCTTTCCGAGTCCTTTTCTAAGGGAGAAAGAAGTATAGAAGCAGCCATGGGAAGGAAGGCAGTTTTCAGGACAGGATCATTCTGCTTAGGGTATGGGAGGTAACTAACAATGGGCCTTAAGACCCAGGCTCCATTCCCAGCCCTGCAGTAGGATGGTGATGTGACTTTAGCCAAGTTCTTTCCTTCCTGAAATGAGTATCTGAGCACCTATTCTAAGATCGGCACCTCCCCCTCTCCACCTGACTCTCCTGACCTGTTTAGTCAGTGGTTTCTGACTTTTCTCACTACAAAGAATTTTTATTATGTCACCCCCGCAATGCATCTGGTCGATCTGTAGATGCACATGTGACCTCCAAGAGCTCATACAACTCTGAGCAAGAGAAGTGAAAATATCATCTCCAGTGTTTATTGTGGCAAGTGTAAGATCATTTCAACTTTCTTTTGCTTTTTCAAAGATCTCAACCACAAGCTGGGCATGGTGGCCCAGGTCTTTAATCCCAGCATTTGGGAGGCAGAGGCAGGCCTCTGGCCAGCCTGGTCTACATAGTGAGTTCCAAGCCAGCAGGGGCTACAGGGAGACCAAAAAGACCAAAAAAAAAAGATTTCTACTACAACCTCAAGTATACTAATTATACTCCTTTGTAGGCCTCTCAGTTTTTCTTAGATTTTTTAGTTTTTTTGTTTGTTTGGGGGGTTGTTGTTGTTGCTGTTTGTATACTTCAGGTTGAAATCCCTGGTCACATGGTCTTTAAAGTTCTAATCAGCTGGGGCTGGAGAGATGGCTCAGCCATTAAGAGCACTGACTGCTCTGCAGAGGACCCGGGTTTGATTCCCAGCACCCACATGGTGGCTATGAACCGTCCTTAACTCCAGTTCCAGGGGAATCCAAAGCTCTCTTCTGATCTCCACAGCATTGCATGACACGGGTGCACTCACATACCTGCAGGCAATACACCCGTACACATAAAATTAAAAAGAAAAAAGTTCCAATCAGCTTTCAGTCTCAGTTTCTGATTCCTTCAAATAGTACCAGTAAACACAGTGCCTGGACTAGTACAGGCACCACAGAACTAGTGCCACCACCACCATCAGTGCAAGGAAGAAGTATATAAACCATCCTCCTAAGCCTTCAAGGCCATATAGCCCCAGCAAACCTCCAGAAAGCCAAAGGAGCCTGCTCCTGTTCTCCGAAGCACTTGGACCCAGACAAAAACCTCATCTGAACCCTGATCACTGATCCTTTCCTTCCCTCAGCTGTTCCAAAACAGAACTGACCTCCTTTCTCATCCCTTGAGTCCCAGGCTAAAGAGCACTTAAGGCTCCATAGTATCACTGTCCACCATGTTGCTGCTTTGGAAATTTTCCAACATAAAAAGAGACACATGGGACAGACATGCTCAAGCAAATGCTTCAAGTCTTGCTTAGTCAATCACCCATTGAAATTTTTCATTTTATCGTTTCCAACTGTGGCATACAAACACAGGAAAGAGACATCTGCAAGAGAAAAAAAAAAAAAGAATTCTGTTGCCTAGCTTGTCCTTTCCAATCTCTTTGGAATGTGAACTTCTCCACCACTGATCACAGCAATTTGTACTTGGGTAACAGATTACACAACCATGTAGATTTATCATGCAAAAAGCCACTGTGGTCTTAAAAAGACAGGCTGGCCAAACTCCATTTTAAAGCAGGCATCTAGATCAGTCCTGAGTCACACCCATGGAACTCGGGCCCTAGGATACATAAGGAAGTCAGAGAGCTGCCAGGACCCCTAGACACAACAAGGTCACAGACAAGACACATGGTTTGGACCCTCTGCATTAAGAAAAAAATCTTGACTTTGTTATCTGTATTTAATATTAGGATATTCCACACTCAAAAGAGTATATATTATCTTGCTCCTCATAACAGAATGAGCCTTACAAATTACAATGTCCCATCCAGCCAAACTAGAGCTGAGCACCAGCTCCTCCTTCTCTAGGTGGGAAATATGCCCCTTGGGTGAGCACGGTTTCCATTACTTTTCCCTCAACACCCATGGAGGATGAAGGTTACCATTTACCTTCATCCTTGCTACACCCTAAGGAATTTATCAAGCATAAATGCCTTTAAGCATTTCTGCTTGTGACCCTAGACTGATCTCAAAGAATACTGTCACACAATAAGGAAAGAAGCAAGTCATACTAGTCCTCCCCAAAGACATATTTATAGGGAGAGAAGCAGGTGATTCAGATACAACATTTATTGATATCTGCTTCTTTCCATTTATGGATGTGTTCTAGTTTGGTTTCCTACCAAAACCAACTTGGGGAGGAAAGGGTTTGTTTCATTTTACAGGTGATAGTCCATCATGAGGGATGTCAAAACAGGAAGCCAAGGCAGGAAACTGGAAGCAGAAACTAAAGCAGAAACCATGGAGGAGCACTGCTTTTGCTGGCTTGCTTCCCCTGGCTTGCTCACCTACCTTTCTTATATGGCCCAGATCTACCTGCCTAGGGAAGACACCACCCACAGTGGGCTGGGCTGGGCTGGGCCCTCCTGCATCAATTAGAAATCGAGAAAATAACCCACAGACATGCCCACAGGCCTATCTGATGGAGGAAATTCCTTAACTGAGGTTCCTTCTTTCCAGATATCACTAGTTCGTATCAAGTTGGCAAACACTAACCAGCACAGGGTGAGTACAATATATTTTTCATATAATTTAGTCTTCAGAAGAACTCTGTGAAGTAGGTGGCATAAAGCCATTTTGTAATTCAGTAGTTAAGTATTTACGTAGCATGCTCAAGGCCCTGGTTTGATCCCCAGCATCATGCTATTCCTGCTCCTAGGCCCCCAAACTGGAAGCTACTTGTCCAAAGTCACAGGCATAAAAGGGGTTTGGTTTCTGACCAACCAAACCATTCAACAGTCCAACTCTGGTCTAATTACAAGTTTAGTGGTCTTTCTAGGCAATCACGGTTGCTTCTAGAAAACTAATACTTAGTCTGGCCTCTTTCTACTTATCATGACCACCTCTGTCCACCTGCAGGGTTTTGCAGTTTCTGATTCTCTCTCTCTCTTTCTCTCTCTCTCTCTCTCTCTCTCTCTCTCTCTGAATTTATGTGTATTCCATACAGAACATCTTAATTATCTTTGTACGCCTTTGCCCACTGGCACCCTTTCATAGCCCTCCCTTTTTGATTTTTTTTTTTTGAGACAGGGTTTCACTATGTGGCCCTGGTTGGGCTAGATCTCGATATTTCGACCAAGCTGGCCTTGAACTCAAAGATCCATCTGCTTCTTCCAAGGACTGGGATTAAAGGCATACCCCACTACATTCCACTTCACAGTTCTCTTAACACCCTGAACAAGCCACCCACATATGGATCTCATATCCTTTTCGACTCCCATTCACTATTTAACATTCTCAGGTCTGGCAGCAGGATCAGTCATGGGTTCATTCAGCGGTCTCCTCATACCATCCCAAGCAGAGAGCTTCAGAGTTCATCACTGGACAAAAGAGTTGTCAGAATCAAGGGAAGGGCTGCAAAGTGGCCCCTGTAGAGCATCCTGGCAGCTTCTCAGGCACTGAGGGACATCACCTAGCCCCGGAACTATACCTGGCAATGTCTCTGGCAATTTGCTCGTTGGGACAGTTGACAAAGACGACGGAGTGAGTGCCAGAGACGTAGCTGCCGGTGACGGATGCTTGGAGCTGTAGGCTAAGGGGCTTGAGCACAGGATACATCAGAAAAGTAGCTGTCAGGATCTATATGATAGAAAAGAAAAGCACAGGTCAATGACTCCCAGCTCAACCAGACTAGAACCAAGGCTGAGATCATTTTCATCCCCATCCAAAAATGAATTCCTGAGATCTGTATTGAGCTTGAGTGCTTAAAGTGTCCATGCCTAAGGACTGGGAAGATAGCTCAGTTGATAATGTGCTTGCCAAGTAAGCTTGAGAAGCTAAATTAGATCCCCCAGAACCCTCGTAAAAAAGCTGAGTGTGGTGGCCCATGCTTGTAATCTGAGCACTGGGGAGGCAGAAACAGGCAGATTCCTGGGGCTCACTAGACAGCAAGTCTAGCTTACCTGACAAGCCACAGACCAATGGGAGACCCTGTCTTAAAAACAAGATGAATGACTCCTGAAGAACAACAGCCCAAGGTTGACCTCTAGCACACATATGTGCATGTGCACCTGTACATGCACGTGAACCCACACATACACAAAAGGTTTTCGCACTTAGATATTCCTCTGCATTTTGTAGAGAAGAAAAATAATGGATGTTCATTAAAAGACTTGCTCAAATCATAGTTCAAATGGTAAAGCCAGAATTGGCCTCAAGTTTGGATGACTTCAAATCCATTTTTGCTGCACAAAAAAAAAAATGGCTATTGTAGGTAATTCTAGCTAGCACCCACTGAACAGCTATCATCCTGTGGAGATTATTTTTAATAATAAGCACTTATCTCCTGATATTTTAGTGAATAATTTCACTCACATTCATTTATCTATACCAGGTGTTGTGCATAGTTTAATGCAAACAGATCAATTTTAAAGTAACGTAGCACATGCCATGGGAACCAATGATTGGAAGAACCGAGAGGAAGACTCTACTGGAGGAAGCAAGAAGCAGCTTTGCAGAGAAGATGCTGTCTGCATTAGTTACTTTTCTCATTGCCATGACAACCGGCAGCTTAAGGGAGGATTTCTTATGGCTTACAGTTTGAGAGGGTACAGTTCATCATGGCTGGGAAGGCATGGCAAGAGACAGTTCCATTACAATGGAGTAGCCATTTACTCACATTTTATCAGACACCAGACAGGAAGGGGCCAGGCTTTAAACTCAAGGCTCATCCCCAGTTACCTACTACCTCCAGCAAGCAGTCACCTCCTAAAGATTCCACAACCTCCAATGCAGTGCCATTGGGTGGGAACCAAGTGTTCAAACATAGGAGCCTACAGAGGACATTTTATATTCAAACCAAAGCATTCTATCCCTGACCTCCAACTTGAAAAGTCCCCATAGTCTTTTATAGTTTCAACACTACTCAAATATCCAAAGTCAGGAAACTCAAGGCAATCTCTAATTTGTGAGTTTCTATAAAATTAAAAAAGAAAAAAAAAACCTCACATATATCTCAACGTACAATGCCCTAGTATAAACACTCTCATTCTTAAAGGGAAGACGATTTGGGATACAGCATAGAAAACTGAGCCAAAGCATGAACAAAAACCAGCAGTACACACACAAAGTCCTGAAGCTCCATGTTTATAACCTGTGCCTCAACGGGCTTGGGTAGCTCCACCCCTCCAGCACTGTCACATGTGTGGCATATAGCCTCCTTGGATTGGCTCTACTCATTCCCACCAGCTTTCCTCAGTAAATGTCCCATATGTCTGGCATTCCCAATATCCTAGGGGCTCTACCACACCTGAGGCTTCACCTGCAGCTTCAAGCACTGCCAACTCAGGGCTCCATACACACAATCTGAGCCTGCTACATGTTCTGGCTCACCAGCTCTGTACAACCTTGGTGTAAGCCTCCATGGACTTGTACCTCTTGCACACATGTCTGTAAAACCAGTATGGTGTGAACAAAGTCAAGTTCGGCTACCAGCTCAGAAGGTGGCCTGACCCCTTAGGCCAGAGCCATAGTAGTCTCTGTGTGCCTTTGAGTTCAAACCTGGGAAAACACTTCCCTAGGAAGCCTGTTCTGGCACCTTAGCCCTAGAAGCACTCTCTTTTCATATAGAACTTTTTCAAATGAATCAGCGTTGTTACACAGAGCTTTCCACAGGTGGGGTCTTGCCCTCAAGATATTTTCTATTGTCCCAGTGCAAAGTGCAGGATTCCCCTTAAGGTGCCAATCAATTTAACAGTTACAGCCACTTTTTCCACACCTACACTCCCTGCACTTTAGGTTCAGTTAAGCGCCTTTCCTTATCAAAATGCATATTTCTATCAGCAATTTTAATAGGATCTCTGCCCCAACCTTGCCAAACCACCGATTTTTCTGCTCTATCTTATCCTATCATTACCCAGAAGGTAAATGCAGCAATCACTATGTACAACTTAAAAGGTATGCTGTCTTGAAATTTCCTTTGCCAAACAACTCAGCCCATTACTCCCAAGTTCAAGACAGGGGCAGAAAGCAGTCATATTCTTTACCAGAATGTAATAAGAATGGCATCTAGCCCACTTCCCAAAGAGAGTCATTGTTCCTCTGAAACCTCATGAGTATAGTCTTTACTGTCAGCAAAAGTCATTCTGGCCTTCTGATCTCCCACCAGAATGACCCATGAGGCTCTGCTTACAGCGTAGTGTTTCTCAAGCCTATAGCTCCAAATGTTTTCAGATCCCTCCCACAAACTAGTTCCAGAGACCTGTGAACAATTGGTCAGGTTTATCGCAACAGCTCTACTTCTACATACCAGTTTTCTACATTAGTTACTTCTGATGCTTCTTTGACCAATACCTGACAAGAAGCAACTTAAGGGAGGAAGGATTTATTTTGTTTTAATTTAAGGGAATAACATCAGGCTAGAGATATGACTCAGTGGGTAAAGTGCTTCTTATGTAAGCATGAGGACCTGAGTTCAGATCCTCAACACTCACATAAAAAGGCAGGCATGGAGCTAGAGAGATGGCTCAGCGGTTAAGAGCACTGGCTGTTCTCACAGAGGACCTGGGTTCGATTCCCAGCACCCACATGGCAGCTAACAATCATCAGTAACTCCAGTTCCAGGGGATCCGACGCCCTCTTCTGACCTCCATAGACACTGCACAACACGGGTGTACTTACACACATGCAGGCAATACACTCATACACATAAAATAAAAATAATAAATAAAATATTTTTTAAAGGCAGGCATGCCAGCATTTGCCTACAGTCTCAATGCTAGGAGACAGAGACAGAAGAATCATGCGAACTCACTGGCTAGGCAGTCTAGCCAGTTGGTTAGCTCCAGGATCAATGAGAAACTCTGTCTCAAATTTTAAATAAATAAATAAATAAATAATAGGCTGGAGAGATGGCTCAGTGGTTGAGTACTGGCTGCTCTTGCAGAGGACCCAGGTTTGGTTCCCAGCACCCACATGGTGGCTAGCAACTATCCTTAACTCCAGTTTCAGGAGATCTGATGCCTTCTTCTGGTCTCTTTGGTCATTGTGTGACATGGGTATACTTACATATATGCAGATAGAAGACTCATACACATAGAATAAAAATAAATAAACCAAAAACTTTTTAATTAAATAAAATGGAGCACAATAGAGGACGACACTGGACACTGACCTCCTCATGTGTTCATGTACCTACATATACACAAGCATACACACATAAACACTGCGTACATGGTGGTGGACGCCTTTAGTCCCAGCACTCAGGAGGCAGAGGCAGGTGGATCTCTGTGAAATCAAGGCCAGACTGGTCTACGTAGTGTGTTCCAGGCCAGCTGTGGCTTCAGGGATCCCCTGTCTCAAAAAAAGACCACACATACAAAAAATTTAAAACAAAAGATGGTGATGAGAAGAAGATCAGGAGGAAAGGAGGCAGCTAGAAAACCAAAGAAGAGGGTCAAGCCAGGGAGGTTGAGGTTTGGCTTTAGGTTACAGGTGCTTTTGAAGGCTTTAAGTAGGACAGTAACAATATCAAGTAGAATGAATGGGCACTGACCAGGAAGCAGCCTAATTAGAAAGTCATTTCAGTGACTCAGGAAAAAGACTTTGAGATCCTCAGCTATGGTGGCAGTGCCCATGTGGGATGACACCTGAGATATCATTTTTCTTACTGTTTCTACTGCCTCCCCCACTGGATAGGAAGTTTTCCATCTCATTCATTTCTGTATTCCCACTACCTAAGCACTGCAGACAGTAAGTACAGCCTTGGAAAATGTGTGTGGACAGTAACAAAGTATAATAAGCCCAGTGTGGTGGCACACACCTTTAATCCCAGCACTTGGGAGGCAGAGGCAAGCAGATCTCTGTGAGTTCGAGGCCAGTCTGGTCTACATAGTGAGTTCTAGGTCAGCTGGGGCTACAGCGAGACCCTGTCTCAAAAAAGACCAAAACAAAACAGAAAAACAAAGCATCATGAGCATGAAAGGTCACTTCGGATTCAACAATGGACAACATTTTAAAAAGTGACTTGTATGAATGCAAAATTGATGGCAGGTACAATATTCTCTAACAGAAACATTCACCGTGACAGAAAGCAGCTATACTCACCACTCTCAATGCCACAGCACATATTCACTACAATGGGAAAAGGCTTAACTATCATTTTTTGTGAGTGTTATTTATGTATATACATACATATGCAGGTACCTGTGCACATGTGCATGTGGAGACCAGAGCTCAATGTTGGGTGTCTTCCTCAAATGTTCTCTACCTTATTTTTTGAGGCAGGGGCTCTCACTGAACCTGAAGCTTAGTGATTCAGCTAAACTGGCTAGTCAATGAGTTCCAGGGGTCCGCCTCCCCCCCACTCCCAGTTCTGAAGTTACAGATGCTTGATGCTGTGTCTGGCTTGCCATGGGTGCTGGGGATCAGGTCCAGGACAAGCACCTTACTAAGCTACTTCCCAAACTTAACAAGGTTTTTTTTTTTTAAGTTTTTAAAAATTATTTTATTTATTATTTTTATGTTATGTGTTTGAGTGTATTGCCTGCATGTGTGTAAGTGCACCCATGTCATCAATGCCCGAGGAGGTCAGAAGATGGTGTTGAATCCCCTGGAACTGGAGTTACAGATGGTTGTTAGCTGCCCTGTGGGTTCTGGGAATTGAACCCAGGTCTTCTGCAAGAGCAGCCAGTGCTCCTAACTGCTGAGTCATCTCTCCAGCACTCCAAACTTAACAAGTTTTAAAGAAATGTCTTTATAGTGTTTATATATCTTTCACACCTTAATTATAATACCTTTTCTAATTTTAAATGTGTATAAAATATTTTATATGTGTCCAGTTATTTTCTATTTCACGTAGTCCCCCACCCTCCAAAAGTTCTTGCTATGTAGTCTTCAATGGCCTGAATTTATTATGTAGACCAGGCAGGTCTCACACTCACAGGGATCCTACTGCCTTTGCCTCGGATTCCCCTGGAATCCGGTTTGTAGCTGCCATGTGGGTACTGGGAATTGAACCCTGGTCCTCTGCAAGAGCAGTCAGTGCTCTTAACCGCTGAGCCATCTCTCCAACCCCAGTCACAAACTTTTAACCAATCTAGTTCTAAGGACTCTATAAATACCTTGAAATCAACTCAGCATTGCGTTTACTCTTTTTCTGGGTGCAAATCCACAACTTTGAAAAAAAACAAAAAAAAAACCCTGGGGTTCAGTGGTTAAGAGCACTGGCTGCTCTTGCAGAGGACCTGGGTTTGGTTCCCAGCACCTGAATGGCAGCTAACAACTGTCCATAACTCCAGTTCCAGGGGAATCCAACACCCTCTTCTGACCTCTGAGAGCATCGCAAGACATGGTTCCATACATACAGGCAATACACTCATATACTAAAAATAATAAAATATTTTTTAAAAAAACTAGAGAAATTTACCCTAATTTTCAGAGAGGTGGAAATAATGGCCAGAGAAGGGAATAATCACTCCAGAAGTTCACACCAGGGCTGGCTAGCAGCAGTCCTGGGCTGGGCATCCTACGGTTATTTCCAGTCTCCATACTGCACACTGTTCTCACACAACATTAACTTCTGAAGGCATGTCAGAGATGGGAAAACAAAGCTCCCAGAGAACTGTAGAAAATAACGTGATGGTACTATAACAAGGAGGTTATCACAAGACACTTGGGTGACTATCAGCAAACATCTCTTCTTCTACCCCACTCTAAGAATGAAACACAGCCCAGGTGCCCGTACCCACGAGGCAAAAATAAAGGGATGCTGGGTAACCCAGAACTACTCAACAACCTCCTGAGCAGTGCTTCCAGGGTCTTAAAGAGTTCACTGCCTCCAGGCCTACCCACAGCTCTAAACCTCAAGAGCAGTGAAAAGAACTACCTCTTGTTCCCTTCATTCCTTCTCTTTCAGTCCCCAACTAGGCCTTCAGGCTGAGGTGGATGGGGTTATGAACTGGGGCACTCACCAGGAAGCATAAGAGGACAAATTGCCGAGGGTAGCCTGCTGGAGGGCAAAGAGAGTCCAGTCTGTCCATGGCTTGGCGTTGCTGGTCATTTAACCGAAGGCAGTAACAGCCAGCATACTGGACTACAGCCTCAGGCAGGGTGCTGGCTGGTAGGCGGACCGAAGCCCTAACTGCAGTCTCCCCCACCCCCACACCTTTTCCTAGGACTCTACCCAGCTCTGCCCCTCCCAGCCTGATTGGCCTGAAGATTGCTAGCAGGCTGGAAGTGTTTTCACTGGGCACACCCCTCCTTTGACGCTTACAACCATTTTCAGATCTACAACTCTTGCAAAAATAAATGTTATTTTGTCTTGCCATTTTTTTAAAAACAAAGGAAATCTCAGAGATATACAGATAAAAAGACATAAACCTTTCTTAAAAAACAAAGTCTTCAGAAATCACAGCACACAAAATTGTAAGACACAGGCAAAACTCTTCTTTCAACAAGCCTGAACCACCCACAAAAACAAACAAGTGAAGGGCACATAATTGCTTCTCTGTTCCCATCACTCTCCCTCCCAGGACCTTCTAATTCTACCTGGCTTAACTTTTGCTCCTACTTCTCTTCCTAGTGAATTAATTCCTCTCTTGCCCAGTTGCTCTGGGCATTGCTTCCTAGATCAATTCCACAGTTGTCTTCTCTTTTTTATTTTTCTTTCATGTGTCTGAGTATATTACCTGCATGTATGTTAAGTGCACCCGTGTCATGCAGTGCCCAAGGAGATCAGAAGCGGGCGTCAGATTCCCCTGGAACTGGAGTAACAGATGGTTGTTAGCTACCATGTGGGTACTGGGAATTGAACCCGGGTCCTCTGCAAGAACAGCCAGTACTCTTGACAGTTGAGCCACGCAGTTGGGAAGAAGCATTTAACATGTATGACAAGAGGGCTGCAACAAATTGAAACCGCAGCAAGTCAGTGCTGAGTTGTCCTTTAGGACTGCAGAGTCCTCAGTTGCTAGGTTTCCAATTTTTATATCTTAGTTCCCTGGATTAAGAAAAACTTTACTGTATTTTATTTATTCATTTATTATATATGTGTATAGTGTGGGCATGAGTCATGCTGCATGTATGGAAGTCAGGGGACAACTTCTAGAAGTTGGTTCCCTCCTTCTACTGCGTGGATTCTGGGAATTGAACTTGGGTCGTCTGCCTTGGCAGCAAGCACCTTTACCTGCTAAGCTTTTTTTTTTTTAATTGATTTTTATTTTATGTGTATGAGTGTTTTGCCTGCATGTATGTAAATGTACCCATGCCATGCAATGCCCTCGGAGGTCAGAAGTGAGCCTTGGATCCCCTGGAACTGGAATGACTAATGCTTGTTAGCTTCTACGTGAGTGCTGGGAACCGAACCTTGATCCTCTGCAAGAACAGCTAGTGCTCTTAACCATTGAGCCATCTCTCTAGCCCCTACCCACTAAGCTTAATGTGAAATATCCCTACTTAACAATGATAACTCCAGACACAGGGGAAGAGACTTAGTGCTCTGGGCCAATGGTTGAAGGATTGCTTTATATCTTGATTATTCTGGTGGTGGTTACCCAAGTATTAAAAAATCCTGAATAGGCTGGGCATGGTGGAGCACGGCTTTAATCCCAGCACTGGGGAGGCAGAGGCAGGAGGATCATTATGAGTTTGAGGCCAGCCTGGTCTACATAGCAAGTTCCAAGCCAGCCAGGGCTACAGGGAGACTCTGTCTCAAAAAGACAAAAAAAAAAAAAAAAAATCCTGAATAAAATCTACACTTAAACTTGTGAATTTTGGGCCAGTAAAATGAATCCTCAAGTGAAGGCACTTGCTGTCAGGCTTGATCTCAAATCAATCCCTGGAACCCACCCGGGGGAAGCAGAGAACCAACTCCTGCAACTTGTCCTCTGACCTCCACACACTCACTGTGGTACACAAAGAAACACACAAATGTGAACAATTAATTCTTTAAAAATAAACTGTGCCTTTATTTTGCATACAGTGTAATAGCTTGTCAAACAAAAATGAGGAAATGCTAAACACAAACTGAAAATTCTTTCAACCTGAACAGAGACACAAAACACACCTGTAAACCAAACTGGCACACAAACCAGTTCAGCGTCCCCCTTGTTGTGAACCATCTGTTCACCTATCTGTATCATTCCTCGGGACTAAAATTTCTTAAAAGGCCTGATACATTACCTAGCAAGAGTAGCAAATCAACTGTAAATTGTTGGCTGCATGGACTCAGGCAAATTACCTAACCTGAGGTGGTTTTTGTGGGGAGGGGGTATGATCCTGGTAAAGAAAATGGCAATACTTCATTCATAGATGTGAAGAATTAACAAAGATTAATATTGAATACAAAACATTTGACCATGTCACAATTTCAAGAGCAAGTATTCTTTTTTTTTTCCAGTCTCAAATACAGAATATATTTCAGGGTTCTGAAAGGACAGGTCGGAATGTTGGTGAAGGCACACCACAAAGAATCTCAAGAAAGTATTGGTTCCACTTCCGTTTAATGAGCCAGTAGTACAGCAGCCTAATGACCCTGGCTGTGAACACACCATGATGTTTCTATGGAGCTGCTGCAAGGAAATATGACTGGCAGCTGGTGTCCTCAGGTTCACAGCACCGAGCAAGCAGCTGCAGCCCCAACTATTGCACAGACCTAAGGTTGGGGGTATAGCGGAGGTATTTCTTGCCAGATGGGAGCTCTTTGGTGAAGACTCCTTTAGGAAGAATGTAATAGGGCACCTTCTTGACCATAGCTACACCATGTTAAAGTTTAGGCTGACGCTGGTTTCTGAAATTATCAGGCAGTTGGCCCAGGATATGGGAACACATCCAAGCTGAACCCTGGTTGTCTTGGGAACAGGTCAGAGCATCCTAGAGTGTTCCTGCTAACTGCTGCTTTATAGCTTCTACAGGTTATGCTTGGCTTGCTTCTGCAAAATAGTAGTTGTTGATTAATAGAATAGAAATTATTAAGGGGACTCTCCACCTATATGCCTGGGAACTTAAACTTTTCACTCCTGGTTATTGTTTCTCTGTACAAAAAGTATCCCACAACATTTAGAGGTTCCTAAGATACAATTGTTATACAACAACCCCCCCCCCCCAGAGGGAACTTTGTGACTGGTAAAGACAGTGTAGAATAACAGTAAGCTTGATGATGTCTGTTTATGAAAGAGGAGGAAGCTAGTTCCGCGCGGGTGGGGGGTTTGGATGGAAAATTGTATTTTCTTATGTATTTCCTTGATAATGTTTGCTCAAGCTTAACGTTCAATGATTAGCTTCTGTATTCTGCTTGCTTGCCCAGCAACAAGTTTAGTATAAAAGAGCCAAAGTGCTTAGGCTCAGCGCTGCACTTGGACCCTCTAGGAAAGAGTGTAGCCCAGCCAGAATAAATCTTTCTCCAGACTCACCTATTTGTCTGTTTGGGGCATTTGTGGATCCCAGACTATAACAAGAATTGTTTGGCTTCCTCTTCAGGGATGGTTGGAAGGACCCTCTCACTACCTCCATCCTTCCAATCGACTGGGGTGGCAACCCTTTTTCCTGTTGTTAGCTGGAAAGACTTAATTACTCTGAGAATCTTATCTAAGCTCCTCTCGGTGGTAGCTGGGTAGAAGATAGACAGCTTCAGTTTCTTATCAAGGCCCCAAACTAACATCACACAGGCTGTCACAGACATGCCCTTCTTGTCTTCTGCTAGGTTGTCCATCATGCCCAACAGGGTGGCAAGGTTCCTGTTCTTATCATCGATGGTGGGAAACGGTAACTCCTCTGTGAACTCACCACCACTGTAAGCACTGATAACCTTGCTCTATTGAAAGGGCAATTTTATTTAAAAAATGAAAAAAAAAGAGAAAAAAAGAAAAAAGCTGGGCGTGGTGGTGCATGCCTTTAATCCCAGCACTCGGGAGGCAGAGGCAGGTGGATCTATGTGAATTCAAGGCCAGCCAGGTCTTAGTGAGTTCCATGTCGGCTGGGGCTATAGGGAGACCCTGTCTCAAAAAGACCAAAACAAAACAAAACAAAACAAAAAAACAAACTGTATTTATTGGTGTGTGTAGGTATGTATGGGGGAGGCATTCTTGCATGCCACATGTGTGGAGATCAGAAAACAACTTGTAAAAGTTGGCCCTCTCCTTCCAACTTGTGGATCCAAGTGCCTTTACCTGCTAAGTCATCTTACTACACAGGATTCATGTCAATCACAGCATCAGTGAAGGTAGAGGTCTGGCACCAACAACATTCACTTTCCTTACTCTCTGGTAATAGGGACTGGTCTTCTTCCTTGTCCACAATATATATATCCCCAGTTATCACCAAAGACTGAAATTTAAGTAGCTCATCATTTTCACCTTAGTATTGATGAATTTATAACCCATTCAATTTTACAGAGTCTGATTTTTTAAAACTTCATCAGCTCTAGGGAAACATGAAACCACTCAGAGCATTCTCCCAAAGTTTCTAACAACCTTTAACAATGGCTGGCTATTAGCTGAGCGTGGTGGCACACGCCTTTAATCCTGGCACTTGGGAGGCAGAAGCAGGCAGATCTTTATGAGATGGAGGTATACATAGTGAGTTCCAGGCCAACTGGAGGTAAAGGGAGACCGTGTCTCAAATAGCAAACAAAAAAACCCAAAAACAAGCAAGAATGGCTGGCTGTGTGTCATCATCCACTCCTTTCACATTACTACAGCATTAGTAATACAATGTTGCTGGCTTCTTAAGTGAGGTTTTGTTTTGTTCAATGCAGTAAGCAAAATGGTAAACATCTGCTAGCCTCCTGAGTGCTTCAAAAATACTATGATCCAAAGGCTGGGGAAAAGAAGTCTGGGGGGTGGGGGTGCAACGGACACACTATCAATATTAGGGTGAGGAAAAAATGGCCTTGAGTGACTGGATCTTTTGTCCACAATTACCAGTACCTTAAATTCAAGACTTTTTTTCTCTGTCAATTAATTGCCCCACTTCAAAGATAAAACAATCACAATGTAATCCAAACAGAAGGTCCTGGTTACAGATACTTTGGGGTGTGGCAGTCCTAACACATGAAAGGCAAGTGGGATTAGAATCTTTGTAAAGCCACAGCTTTGCAATTTTGTCACTTGAGGCCCTGGCATGCACACATCCATCCAGAGGGAAATCCTGTTTCCCCTAAGATTTCTGGGTTTTTGTCTCCTTCCTTAAAATTACAGAAGGCAAGTTTTTCCAAAACACATCCAACTCCTTGGCACTGAGGACCTGATGAAGCCCACAGCTCTGACCAATCTCTCCAACTGCCTGGTGTCAACTTGCTTTTAACGGTTCTTCCCCATCAACGTTGTACTTCACAGACAGCAGAGATTTTAAAACTGCAGCTCTTGCTTGCACTAAATTTACCTGGATTACCCTGACCACTGGTTTCTACCAGATACCTACAGATGCACTTGGTCTGGTTGCACATGGCCCTCGGAGTCAGAGGCCGCCCCTCTAAGGTCTGCTCCTCCACCCCAAACTCTTAACGCAATCTCCATCCTCCCCATGTTTACTTTATGAAAATGCACAGCATTTGGATAAAATGTCCGATACTTAATATGCCAAGACCTCCAACATCCCTTTATCAGGCTTCCCGTTGACAAGCCAAAAGATGCTCCATGTGCTGGTTACACCTTGGTCCGGCTTTTCTTGAGGTAGGAACCTGTGCCTCAACCTTTTGACGTCGTTGTCCTTTTGAGACAGGGTCTCCATGAAGCCCCAGCTGGCCTGGAACTCACTATGTAGACCAGGCTGGCTCAATCTCATAGAGATCTGCCTGCCTCTGCCTCCAGAATGTTGAAATTTAAGGTTGTGCCACCACACCTGGACAAAATGATAGTTTTCACTAGATTAGAGTAACTAAAATATATCATTATAGTTAACTTTTTGTTTCTTTTCGTATGTGTGGCTACTACAAAATTTAAAATTCCATGTGGGCCTACCAGCATTTATGTTGCACAATGTTACCACGGGCCT